CGTAACGTAATAGAGGCGACTAGGTGACTGGCTAGTGGCAGCTGTCGCAAGTACTGGCTAGCCAGTGAGTTTCCCTGGTCAGGAGAGACGACCTGCCACAGGCAAGGCTTTGCATGTGCCGTAGCAGTTGTGAAGGTCTGCGATCATCCAGTTCGCAGCAAGCAGTTTTTGCAGCTTCGCTTCGTCTGAGGTGGCTGTCCATTTAATAATTGCTGCTTTCATCGTGGTGTAGGGATTCGATGCCAGCATGGGATCAATCAGGTCAATAACCTCCGCAGCAACCCCAGTCGGAATCTGAGGAACAACGTATGAATACATGGTCTACATTAAGGTAATTCGGCGGAAACGGAAGTAATATTCCAGTTGGATAAACCATACTCTGGGGTTATTAACTCAAAAAGGTGGCAGTTTTGCGTGAATGGCGTTTTCAACCAACTCAGAGTTGAGTTCGTCTTCGTTAGACGACGTTATACAAATTCGAAACGAGTTACTGGACTAAGTGTATGCGTAAGAGATATGGGCGTTCTGAGCCACCAATAAAAATAGAACACAGCAAAAAATGTACAGGCTCACCAATTATATAGTGGTTAACGGCCCTAAGGTGTCTCTAGTGAACAGAACAAAGTAACAATGTAAGCCGGACACGAGGAGAAAAATTCAGTCACAGTCCAAAATAGGGGATTCCGCAGTTCCGCATTCCGTTGAACCACCACATCAAGAGAAGGTCTATCTTCCAGGTATTCCAAATCTCCGGTGATCGCAATATTAATCCACAGATATGAAAAGATTGGTCCAGCGTTTGTAGCTATTTTGCTTGTTCACGTTAGGAGTTAGTAGCAGCGAATTATAGCCAACCGGCAGTCACAACAAAAGTCACTCAGCAGAAGTCTCAAAGTCACGTTGGATCTAAGAAGCGGGTGGTTGTGGTTGTATTTCAGCAAAACAAACTTTTGTACAGTGATGTGACTGATGTTGATGGGGAAAAGGAAGACAATACTAAGCATGAAAACAGCAGTTTACAACTGCTACAATAGCCATGTGCGTGCGTTTCGCTTATCGGCATCCATGAAAGCGTCCACAGGCGCGCAGACAATTGCTGCTCATTCACCGTATTTGCTCTCGTCCCGACAATCTGCAGTCTGACTAACTCAAATTTTAGTGATATCTTAGACGCTTTGTTACGGCGAGCGTGGATACGCATGCATAGATGGTCTTTGGCTTGTTTCAGCGAATCACACTGACCGTAGCAATTGCCTGAAACAGCAATGTGTGGACCACGGACTCTCTCCGTACACCAGGCTGTGACGCGAGCTAACTTGTTGTGTGGTGGTGAACCCACAGATACAACTGTAGGACGAAACTTTGGGTATGGAAGAACGGATGGTGTCTATGGAATGTGTCAAGGACCAGAAGCTGTGATAATAAGACCATGTGTTGTGCAACTCAAATAGTCTATCAATGAGGAGTGCTGCTTTTCATGCCGTATTCAGCGTGGTACGAGCAGAAATATGGTGGACCTTTGGCCTGCAAGAGTTAAACGAAAATGTTTGTGGAAGGTCTTCCTATGGAGCGTGCTGACTAGCTCCCAAAATAGAGTTTGAATAATCTTCGCCGCAAAATTTGGCCTTCAGCTGATGGTGGTGGTGTTGATTTCCCCAGTTTATGCCCATATTGTCCAAACGGGTGTCCGAAAATGCAAATATCCCACACCGGTAGTTAGAGACCAGAACTGGTCCCTCTTCCACTATTTTTCTTTAGGTCACAAAAATTTTCCTCACACAAGCTTCGTATACTTTACGGTAAAACCTTGATGGTTGAGCACAGGTATTGTGTTGTCGATGATGGTTAAGCCTAAACGGCAACTGGTATCCGCGAGCCAACATTAAACAAGGGTAGAACACACCACTTTTGTGCAAAGATGGCTCGGGAAACTTTATTGGTCCAGTTCGCGCGCCTGCTCATCGTTGCTTCACTTCGCACTTTTGGGGGTGCGTAGGGTGCTCATACCTCGTTTAGTCCCTGGAGAGCTCTGGGACCCACATATGTACCGCAGTATTCGAACTCTTGTATCGACACTCGGGTTACTCCCACGATGGAGCACCAAAGGTCATGGCATGGATGCTCTGTTATGGAGAAAAGTGAAATTCGGACGCTTGCTTGCAGGGTTACCACGGAATTTTTCGCTAGAACAAACTATCTAAAGTCATCGTGAGAAGACGAGTACCGGCTGGTAAATGCCCCGTTCTGATTGGCTGATATTCTGACCAATGAGAGCCTGCCGTAAGTTGCTCCGTAGCCGACTCCATCCAGAAGACGTGATGTTCGGTTGTTTGGATCGGTGCCCCTGCAGACATGCCCCATGTGAAACGAACATAGAAAAAACTAAGTGGAGTTCCATTAAAACATCCTGCCATCGGACTTCGGCTATTACTGGGATGTTTTCGGCAACCCCGAAGATGTAGGGCGCTCCGCTTGTAAACGGCGCACCCAGCCATGCGCTAGATTTCGAGCAAACAATAAACTTGCTAGAAGCTCCGACAGCTGTACTACTCAGCGAACTGTAAGATCTTATGTAAAAAAGAGAATCCACGTGGATCTATCCACACGAGTATAGCTTTGGGGTCCAGAAATCGGAAGATAGGAAGGAAGCAAGGAACTCTCGTAACGTGTGAAACTTATTCCAACTGATGCGCGCAACAGGCCAAAGACAGTTCCCAGTACGCAAATCAGCCTTTGTTGAACAAAAATTAGCTCGCTTGTCTCTGAAAAGGAGGAACATCTGAGTCGGTGGGTTAAACACATTTAACAGTTATTCAGTCCGATCTTTGCAGTGAACCTACATTCAAAAATAAGCCAATGTATTTTCTGCCTCAGTTGCTGTTGCCGCTCCTCCCACTGATTTTGTTTGAAAATTGGGTGGAATCCCCAGTCTGAACCTGTCTAGCTTATTCGCCTCACTTTGGATGAAAAGGACTTCCGGCTGAGTGCTATAGGTTGACTGTAATGCCAGTTTTCAATTAAAATGCGCGTACTGGGTGTGGCGTATCACAGTGGAGCTACCTTGACTCCAGCTGTCGCTTATGTTGCTTCGTTCTTGCGTGGGTGCGCAAAAACGGGACTCAAAAACCGCCAGTGGGATTCCGGTCTCACGGGAGTTGTGTGAAACACATCTTCACGTCGTCGAGTTTTAGATCGACAACATGTGTAAAGTCGTCCTACAATCTTGGTGTTCCTTAACTTTAGTGATGTATTCGATTCTGTCGACCGTGAAACGTTCTCATTGACGTGCAAACCAGGGCACCCCCCAGAGACTCATGAATCTCATGCGCTCTTTGTGTTCACATGATAATATGCGCATGACAGTATGGAAACTCTCCAAAAACCTTCCTACATACAGTGGCGTCCGACCACCCCATTTCTTACTTGGTTATTTGTGAGATAATGGGGTGGGCTATGGAAGGTCTGCAAAACTCTGGTGTTCAGATGTGAGACCAAGAACCCTCTCTACTATTAATATTCTGATGAAGTCTTTCATCCTTGGAGAAAAGCAGCTCCTGCAAGCATTTCTGGAGGATATGACGGAGGTCATATCTTTTTTTCCCACCCACAGAGTTCTAAGCCATCCTGCGGAACTTGCGGTCTTTGAACATATCTCTAAGAATTCAAGAGAACACACTGGGAAGTGTGCAGCACCATGCGTGTCTAGGAAGTTGCCTGGGCTCTGCTCACAGTGAACGCATGAATTTCGAAAGCCTGGATTTCTTTCGCCAAGTTGCGCTAATTCTGGCATCACTCGTCTTGAAGGACTCCTTATCAGATGGCAGCGCGGCCAATATTGGTGCGAAAATTGGTTGTTTGTGGTGGAAAATCGTAAACATCTCCAGGTGTCTCAACTACAGCTGGAATGGCCTGGAACCACCGAATCCATAATTAAGTGCTCAGGAAGCAGAAGGGACTTCACTCGAGGAGTACATCCACCACTGCAAGCTAAAGTGGCCGACCAATTGCCATGTGTTACGTATGCCGAGAAGAGCTTCGTACTCGATTCTGAGTAGCGGAAAATTGGAGGTCATCACCATCGTCTCCAGCCATAAAAACTGCGTACTTGTCGAGTGTTCATAGCTCCCATGATTTCGTTCACCAGTGATCTGGGGAGCTAGGGAGTAGATAACTGCACATTGGAGGAGCTAGCTAATATAATTGGGGCGTCGATACAGTTGTCAGTTGATCTTTCATTGGGGAAGTCGAGAGAGGAAGTTATGCATTGAAGCCAACAGCTTCGATGCGTGCGCGCCACTGAGCTGTGACACCCTTTCGCTGCCTAGCTGCCATGCCACCTGGAGAAAGTATGAGAGCTGGGATACTGCCAGGTTGGCCAAGCCTAGACAGGGGAAGTCGAGAGATGGAGGTAAGATTCGAAGCGCGGACCTTCCGGTTGTTGAATTCGTGCTCTAACCACTGAGTCATCTCGCCCCAGTGCGCCACTAAGCTTGCGACTAGATCATGTCAGACACTGTCTCTAAACATTGATGTGTCCCATCTCGGCGTCCGCATCCAAAGTAACGGCAAGGACTAGCGCAACTGGTGATGATTTCTTCCGAGTTGTCACCGTAAAGTCATTATTTGACTTCCCCTGGTTTACCTCTACCCTTCGCGAGACTGTGTGAAAAGGGCGGTTCGAGAAAGTCCGTCGACTGGCGTAAGGAGCACGTGATCAAACCAGCCAAACTATGGATTGTGATCAGTTCATCTTTCGTAGATAAATTATTTCCGAAAACCATCGAATGCATCTCAGCATTGCTGATCCTAGAATATGACATGACAGAGGGGAGTGAAGAGTGTTACGGAAAGCGTGGGTGCTGAAGGTTGTTAAAATTTATTATTAATGATAATTTATTGTTAATAACTAACCTAACTAACCAATATCATTTTCTGTCTAGACTTTCCGAATGGTTGTTAAATGTTTATACACCTCAATATTTGTGATACTTTAACCTTAGTTTTACCCCTGCCCCATTTTTTCTTTTGTTTGACTTCCCCTGGTTTACTTCTACCCTTCGCGAGACTGTGCGAAAAGGGCTGTTCGAGAAAGTCCGTCGACTGGCATAAGGAGCACGTGATCAAACCAGCCAAACTATGGAGTGTAATCAGTTCATCTTTCGTAGATAAATTATTTCCGAAAACCATCGAATGCATCTCAGCAATGCTGATCCTAGAATATATGACAGAGGGGAGTGAAGAGCGTTACGAAAAGCGTGGGTGCTGAAGGTTGTTAAAAGTTATTATTAATAACTAACCAATATCAGCAGCGTTCATTCATTTTCTGTCTAGACTTTCCGAATGGTATTTGTAGTAGTACTTTAACCTTAGTTTTACCCCTGCTCCATTTTTTCTTTCCATTATAAGGCTTTACTTGAATAATTTGGCATGGTTCTACATTAGTTGTTGCTCTCGGTGATAACGATTATTTCAACGATGAATCCAACCCCCAGACTGTCCTCCTAGATGGTAATGTGATCCGAAACACCGAGGGGCTTAGAGAGACATCTCTCCGATTGCGCCACTCGAAACAAACTCCAAAACGCCTGTTATGTAGTCGATTCCGGCGCTCTTTACGGGACTAAGATTCAACAGGGTCATGTGGTATCGTCAGAATCACGGATGGGACGCTAAGATAGTTCATAGTTCACCACAACATTCGTTTCCTCTGCGGGACTCCCTGGTATAGTGCGCAATAGCCAGTGGACTGTAACGAACGGATTATCCTATCGATAGAAGCGATGCGTCGTTCAAAAGCCTAACATGCTTGAAATGACTATGTTCTTCCCTAGTTTTCATTTTTTTCCGAGCGGTTTTGAAGAGTATATAAAGACCAAACTGTGGCCGGTGACCGTAATCAAAGTGAGCGGTCATTTCTCACCTGAAATCCAGAATAAGGAAAAATATATATATTTAGCGTCTCATGCTCCCATCACTGTGAGTCTTGCAGGACTGAATCCAGTTTAATCTCTACGAATCCGTCTTCCTCTCTCTTTGTGTATGCGTGTGTGTTCAGCAGCTTGCAGAGGATTAGGCCAGAGAGCATAGCTACCAGGCTTGTTCCGTGGTCGTTTTCATTCGGCCTTTGCGTACTGCCTTTGGAAATGGGGATAATCATTGACGTGCCCCATTCTGTCTGTTTTTCCCTCACTCCAGTTTCTCGATTTCAGTTTACCAGCTGCAAACCATGTACCCAGCGTACTTTGGTTCCAGCTGTTAGCTTCGGTCACCGAAAAATGGAACTTGTAACCAAACAGTAGTGATGGTGTAATCAGCTATTCGACGTTGAATCATTCTAGTTGTCTGAAGAGAATGAGTATGAGGAGAATGAGTATTCACATACTGAAGGCAATAGGTTTGATATAAGAGTACAACTGACTGCTTTACTGAGCCATTTGTGTCAGTACCATTGATAAATCGAGTTCAGGTGCCACCATTCAGAAAGGCAGCAGTTTTGGGCCCGACTAAGTTTTTTGGTGGGTAATTTTATGCCTTTTTTCCAGAACATAATTATCTGCTTCTCCGTCGGCTCCACTCGACACAGGGTTACGTAAAATATCCCGTAAGGCTCTCTGACATGTGACGTGCATGTTCTTACTAGCATAACCTATGTTGCTCGAGCGGCTAGGCCGTTCAGCGAGCATTGCCTCTCACTAAAATCATCTGGAGAACTTAATCACTGCTGGTTTGACGTTTTCATCATACTGACTAATGCTTCCTCGGTAACCGTGATCCGTCTGCCAGTTTTTCGACATCCTATGGGTGTCGAGCCACGTTTCCGATACCGAAACGCTAACTTATATCATTTGATGAAGCGGCAAACACTATTAGCAAGGTCATCATCATCATCTCCAGACACTCAGATGATCTGGATAGGAACTGACAACAAGAACACCACTGACATCGGTTGGAAGCCATATCCTGTAGTCTCACGTAGGTGAACAAGGTTCTCAGTTTACCCGGTGAATGAAAGGCCATTGACCTAAGGAAATTCGCGAAAGTACAAAACCAGTACTCCTAGATATTTGCGGAGTCTTGAACATTGGGGTCACTATTAAGCCGTTCAGGACGTAGAAATCGGTCAATTGTTCGGTGAAACGTTTTGGATGATAATTTGTTGCGTTGGACGGGGAATGGAGCGAGGCGACGATCAGAGTAAGAACGGCAAAGACTGAGGGCCTAGAAGCTAGGTTTTATTCATCCAAAACTTTCGGCTGCGCGGTCGATAGTTCGGTGAAACCTTTTGGATGATAATTTGTTGCGTTGGACGGGGAATGGAGCAAGGCGACGATCAGAGTAAGAACGGTAAAGACTGAGGGCCTAGAAGCTAGGTTTTATTCATCCAAAACTTTGACGCTGCGAGCTGAGATGAGAAAAATTGACTTGGCAATGAACAATGAAACGCTTTGAGAAAACTGAAGAAGTATGCAGCATACGATGAAGTCCAGTCTCTGTGTGACGTTCCGAGTCTTTCGCATCAAAGCTTCATCGCTTTGATCCTTCCGGTCCAATTGTCATGTTGCGCTGGATTTCTCTTGCTGATGGTGGGCTGGTGTGGATTTTCCATTCCAGTTCTGTTGTTTCCTGGGGAAATGAGGCCACGTGATACCAGTAAATTTCGTCATGCCCCTATAGAAACATGTGGGTTGAAATCCTTATATGAAACATCGCGCGCTTGGTGTCCATATTCAAGAAACAAACTTCTTCCCGAGAGTCGTCTTCACCTTGACAGTTTGACATGCAGGCATTTCTCCGAGCGTTATATGCGTCCACCTTATTTGGAGCGCAAAAGTGTATCCGCGCCATTTTATAACTCACTTTTTCCTGTCCGTCTCTTAGTTTTTGTTCTTCATCTGCAGTTGTGTAGCCTTATTTGCCCATTGTTCTTCATCGGCGGAACGAATGCTTCTTAACAGAAAAATCAAAGATGAGCTGGAGTTGTTACTGTGAGTGCTCCATGAGACACAGTCTTATCTCTAACCTCCCTCCAGTGAACATGAACAGTTTATGCGAAGTGCCGCAAACTGCAACGCATCATCAGGAATCACCACTGGTAAGAAAACTCCTAAACCTATCCTCAGCCTCGTTAGACAGTTTACCCACACAAGCAACTAGCTTGCCTAGTGCGGACCCATTGTCTTCTTTCGATATTAGAGTAAGTCTTTGAGTCCAAAGATACTATTTTTACAGGAGCGAGACTTACATGAAGATGATTTTGAGATGACTTTCGAAGACTGCCCGCAGACCACTAGCTTTCCGGTGGCTTTCCGTCGTTCCGCTGTGAGTGTTGGTGAGTCACTCACTTCAAACTCGAGCACCAAAAGCATATTCGCTCGAGAAATGGAATTGCGTGCCGTCAAGCGGCGGCCACAGCAGCTGCACGATCCGGTCTCTTCTGACGGTTGTGCTCTCCTCAGTAAGCCTGTTTCGATTACTTGTCTCTTTTTCCAGATAAAGGGGACGGACTTGAATACCTTCGGGCACACGGGCCTCAAACCGTTTCTGGCACGGGGCTTGGCTCTCGCTTTCGAGAGGTAGAACGCATTCATCAAGAAAATCTAACACGTCTGTCTCATATGTCGGAGGACGAGATTGCAAAAGAACGTGAACTGCTGCTCTCCTCAATGAGTAAGCTGTCTGTAGCTTTCTAAGCCTTTTTGGCTAACCACCACGCGTGTCTCATGAGTATCACTCACCTACCACCGATCGCCTTTTGTTCCGTAGATTTTCGGTAATCTCTCTCTCCTTCCTTCGTGTTTCCTTGGAGCACCTGCTCACAACCGCAGTCGTGGATGCAATGGGAGTATCGAGTGGGTCATAGCTCACTGAGTTCTAATTAAGAGGCAGGAGCTGTTGTACGCCCTGTGATGCATTTTGTTGAGTGTGATAATTGAGTTCAGATGCTTATCCACGTGGCCTTCACCGTTTGACCCAAGTTGGAAGTACGAAGCCCTATATTGTCCCCCGAGACCACTTAATAAAGAGCCTGCATTAGTGTTTCTCATTAACTACATGCAGTAATCCATCAGGTCGGGATCGAACGAATTTTACCCATAGGGGGGATAGCATCTCTTTTGGGAGGCCACTTTTTTCCTAACGTCAGTCTGTCCGGAGCAATAATCAGTAGCACAAGCAACTAAAGCATGACATTATCAGCTTAAAACGCAAAAACATCTTACGTCATAATCGAATAGCTTGCGTGGCAGGTGGTCACTCCGAATCCTGAGATTACCGACGCTGGCCTCTTTGTGCGCTATTGGACAGAGATTGCTACGGTCGGGTCCCCATAGTTAGCAGACAGATGAATACTTGCCAGACTATTCGGAATGAGGTGTTAGCACTGACTACGCGCTTTCCTTTACTTCTTGGCATTGTCTCCGGTTTGTCCACTATCCAGCCCTACTGGCTTCTCGAAGTACATCGGCTTCAGTATGGCAATCTGCCAAGGGAGTCCACAGTCCTTTGACAGGTCGTGACATCCCACCGATGGCGCCACTATCTTCGGCTGTTTTGACCGACACATCAAACCGACATCGTCGACATCATAGCGCGGTGAGGTGTCTATGGGACGCGCGCAAACCACTGGATTATTGTTCTCATCGTTTCATTGGACAAGCAGTCGAGCTTGGAGACGGCGAGTATCCTCCATAGTCACTGATGATTGACTGTCTCTAACCTCTTAGGCTTCCAGCTCTGATGAATCAAATCCTTTAACCACACAAGGTGACCAAGTGGGACCTTGTGTCTGGAGGTCTCAACCCTGGGGCTGACTTAACACAACTGCAAGAAACCCGTTCCCCTTAGTGCGATGTTTAACTAGCTCGTCGACCTAGTTTTCGGGTAATTTGGTAGGGGTTTTCGGGTAACCATCCTCTTGTTGAGTGTCTTGGAAATCAGACGTCTGTGTGATTAGTAAAGTTCTGTCCTCGGGACGTTTGTTTTTGGTCGAAGCTGAAGAATGATTGGCTGTTGTAGACATCCATAAGCGTGTCTTCTGCACCCTCAGATCCAGCCATTTGGATATCTGAGCTCCGTTAAACTCGAAGCCAGGTAACTGGTGCCTGTCACGTGATTCAGTGTGCAGGAGAATCGGACAACCCTAAGGACAGCGGGAATTCTGGGGTACCTCACAGAAACTTTCATATGGCTGACCAGTTTTGTGATTTACGTTTGTAATGCTGTATCATCCATCGTTGTAATTCGAAAATCAGTTCCGCACGAGCATCGTTGAAAGTTAGCTAGACCCTGAGAAGAAGTGGATAAGGTGTCTTATAGACACCAACATTCACCGTCAGCTTGTGCCGACCGTGGAGCCTATCTTCCTGGTCCCGATATCTTTATGGACAGCCAAGCCAGCATTCCTGGCCAGGATTGGCTGTTGGACAGTTTCTTCGGGGATCGTCTTTCGGACGTCTTGAAACGCGACCTTTATCCGCCACTGCTGCCGACCGTTGGTGGTCTTGATCTTCGTTTGCTGACCTTTTAATGAGGTTTCCACCCGTCAATGTTCGTTATTAGGTGACTTTGTGGATCTGCATCATGGTTATCTTTATTGTGAAACGTCCAGTATTCAGCAGCTACTCCTTGGACCTTCAGTCGCCTCAAATCAGGGTCAGTTGGTTGTACGTCAGGACGAAAATCATATAGGCAGCAAATAAAATAACGTGGCTTTTGGCTTTTGAGTTGAATTGGGACAGTTTGCTTCTTCGTATCTCCAGTATCTATGGTCTGCAAACGATTCGGCTTCCTGGGCACGCTATGGGATTTAGGTTGCCGCGGTTGTCGTGTATTCGAGACACTTTGGGAGTGGTGAGAGAAGTTCGGCACGTATGGTCACCCCAGCACCACCCGGCAGTCTGTTCTAAGGTGATTTTCTAGGCCTTGCATAGTCAGCTGCAAGCCATGCAGCTTCCTTCGCGTGACAGGCAGCTAGGCACAGAAAGTGTGTTACGTAGGATCAGGTAATTTGTGGCAAGCAGATAGTTGTTAGATCTCGCAGTTGACTCAACCCAAACAATTCATAGGAACTAATTCATGTTTGCACTGTTGTTAATTTGGGATGAATGAACAACCAGCAGGGTTAAAGTGTAGATCACCCGGCTTCGCTCTTCCATTTTGGTCGAAACTCCTTTAACGAGAAGACAGCAGAGGCTGTATCACAGCAGGTCACTTTATAGTATTACATTGGGATTCGAAGAAAGGCACTATTCGTTTTCAAATCACCCTATGTCATACTGAGCCGCTTGGAAGCCAGGCGATTCACTAGTACGTTCACTGTAGCCTTCTATTCGATCCCCAACCAACGGCTAATATTCCACTTTTCTCACGTAACGTCATCATTCGCTCGCATATGTATACTGTCTACTGGTACGTGTGTCGGCTCGAGATAGCTTAGTTATTAGGGCTGGATGGTCCGTGGTTCAAACCCAACCTCGGTATCCCGGCGTTCATCTAGACTTGAGCAGCCTGCCATTATCCCAGCCCTCGTGCTTCCTTGGGGTGGTATGGTACCTTGGCACCGAGAGTATGTTACAGCTGAAAGATTATCATTATTTCTTATCCCGCTGACGTAGCGTGTATGCTTGTGGGCCGCGGGACAACCGCATGTGCACGAAGCCAGGGTTGGGCACAATTGACACTTGCTGGACGCATATCGAGTTACCGTCTACCGTGTAGGGTAGACGGTACGTAATTCAGAGTGACCGAAACCCAGAGATACAGGTTTATGACATAGTAGAAAAGAATAAAGGATAAGTCCGGGTGCTGTTGGTGCTTTTCCCTTTCAGAATGCCGCCTTTTGCTTCGCCGGAGAAACTAAAAGATGTGGCAGCTAACCGAGGTCAGTGGCAGTCATGCTATCAGCTCCTATCGAGATTGTCCGACTGAGTGCTGCAGGTGTGGACACCTCGAACGTTTGTGTTTGGCCTACTTTATCTTCTTATCCATACCCCTCGTTTTCTATTTCTTCCATTCTAAGAGATGGCTAAGAGGTTAGAGCACGAATTTACTGACCCAAATGTCCGTGGTTCGAACCCGATCTTTGTATCTCGACTTCCCCCAGTCTAGGCTTGGGCAGCCTGACAGTGTCCCAACCCTCGTGCTTCCTCCGGGTGGCATGGCAGCTAGGCACCGAAAGGATGTTACACCTGAACGGTTATTATTATTTCTGGCAGTGATGTTTTAGTGATGTATTCGAAGAAAGTCCTGCTTATTCGCTCCAACGGTGACGGAACTGTTGCTCCGCCTATTTTGTGGACAAATGTCTATTTCTCTGTCAACCTAACGCTGAATTTGGACTTAACTCATAGCTCAGTGGTGTGATTTCTGGTTTGTTCATCAGATCAGTCCAGTGGCGTGGCGGATGAAAAATACTAATTCCGATTCAACTTCTGCACAGAGTGATTTAAACAAAAATGGCTAATATAAGCCAAGTGGTCAAGTGCAAAGATTCTTGACATCTGCTCTATTTACTGCCAGGAGAGACTGTCAAAATTCAGGAGGTTTCGTCCGCGTTCTCAAGGCAACGTTCCCCTGATGTCTGTCTAATCGGTACCACTGTTTGGTACCTTAAAAGACACAGAGAACCCCCAATGGTTGCAAAATATATCTAAAGCTATTGGTCTCCTCCTACAGACGTTACGCTGTCCAGAGTGACCGATGCTACTATGATGGTCGCTCTAGCGGAAGGTCGTTGTACGACTGTGATGTCTCGTATGTTTTTTTTAGCATTCCTTTTCATCTAGCTTGACAGTCCATTTTAATCTCCGCTTGAGATGAATGTGACAGACTCTTCGAGGTAGATGGTAGGCACTGAACCAACAATGACGCCCAACAAACTGCAAGTGTTGGATTTGAAAATCTCAACTTGCAGGTAAGTTGAAATTTCTTCGAAAACGAAAACGGTCCACACCAAGTAGTAGTACTTGATGAGGCGTTTTATATTGGTTCCTCCCCACAAGAGGTCAGCTTCTAGATGGGGTCCACTTAAGACTGCCTCTTCGGCGGCGGGGTAGCAAATATATGTATTCATACTTGTAATACTACATTTTTTACTCTTCGTTGTCACTAGATCCATCAATGGTTGCCTTCTTGTTACACAAGAATCGCCGGAACATCGCAACTAATGGTGAGTTGTATAACAAAATGTCTTCTAACCACTAGTTCTGCCTGCATAGTCGGCCACTCCTCTGAAAAACCCGATTTGTTCATGAATTCTTCGAGGAGGGAGTGGGAACAAGAGATGAAATACACCCTTCCACCATTCACTCTTTATTACAGGGCCACTGTAGGTATATCCCTTTGGAACAAACAGGCTGGTAGGTTCTACTGGAGCTTTTCGATGACAACTACAGCTGTGACATTGATCTCATAGACACCAAATGGGAATAACTATTTCCCACAAAGGAAACTACTCACAAGGTTGCTGAAAACTCTTCGACAGTTCACGACCTGTTTGGCCCTCTTGGGGCTCATCAGGTAGGCGCAGTCCCCGAGTTTCTGTCAACCTTATGTTCTACTTGAATCCAGATGGGACTGTTTTCGAGAAATATACTTATTTGCAAATCAATTTGGTTTTCACGAGAGACTCAACTGAATCTCTCGGTCGTGAACTGTCGAAGAGTTTTCAGCAACCTTGTGAGTAGTTTCCTTTATGAAACCATACTGCGATATCTCGAATATCGCGCCAACTGAATCATGAGGCGGTCTGTGTGCAGCACATTCAATTGTAGAATATTATAAACGGGAGATTCAATTGAGTCTCTCGTGAGAACCAAATTGATTTGCAAATGAGTGTACCTATTTCCCACGTTTATTCTCCACACGACAGATAATCGCTGAAATATCCACCCTACCCACTTGGTTTTCCCATTGTGAGAATTACTCGGTTTCAGGAGCGACTGTTTCTTGATGTAGTCCGGGCTTTTCTCAGTTTATAGAATGCTTTTTCACTCAGGTATCGGTTCAGTGTTTTGAGGCAATCTATGCGACATTCTGCTGCTTATGCTCTCTGCGAATTGGGTGTGAAATTGGGCCTTTCGCCATTACAAGCATTTGTCGGTCTTCCCCTCTTGATCCAATCTTTTCCTAATCATTGTTGGCACAGCACGACCATCGCGAAAGGAGCAGGTGAAATCAAGGTTCTCGCTTTCGCGACGTCCAGCGAATGATGCGACCAGTCCATTGTCTGACGATCCGATGGTTAAGGGGGTAGCGCAGCTAGAAGAGGAGAAACTTGAGTGGACACGTGACCTGCCGGTCACAGCTCGCAGACCACCGGAACTGCATGTGGTCGCTGGATCTCAGGTAACTACTCCGATCACTTATTTGTAATATGTCTGGTTGTTTCCATGAGGATTTCGGTCCCACGCACTCTCTGCCGTCCTAGTTAGGTCAAGTTTAAATTTCGAGACGTCGTATACTTTATTTAATCTTTGGCCTCTGTCTTGTAATTTTCATATCCTCTCTTGATCCACTTACATTCCTTCACTTAGCCATGTTCATCGGAAGACATCGAGATGAATGAGACCCATCCGGAGAACAAGACGAGTAAACCATGTCAGGCCCGATTTGATCTATGTGGCTTGGTTGTTCCACCGGACGCCGTACTTGATACCCACTTGGGTCTGCATCACCATGGGGAGGAACCAGAGGTAGGTAGTGTCGCTTGGTTTTTTGCTTGGCCCCCCTGAAATTTCAGTCGTTGACATTTTGTGCTCATGTTTTTTTGGGGGGGAGGACAGCTGATATTGACTGCTTTATGACACGACTTCCCTTGGTTGATTAGCTTAGATTTTTCCTCGAATGATCACCAATGCTCATCCGTCTCCCTCGACGGGGGTGTTTCCTGGTGGAACACTATTTAGTCAATTTCGCACCACGGTATTAGACTTTTGTTTACGCGGCTCTTTTAAGCATCCTTCAGTGTTCAACAAACCACTGTCCTCTACACTATCCGCTAAGTAAATGGCACATCGATCGATAGTGTGTACATGCAGCCCAGGTGCATGCTCGCCCGGTGGGGATTTGAACCACGGTGTGGTTGCGTAAACACTTCACTTAGGACTTGTTTGGTGTTTCTTGCACACCAGGTATGCTTTGATCGATCGTTCCGAACCAGGTTACTCTGTATAATGCCACCTAACTGCACTACTCTACACACGCTGGCAAGAGAACAAACAGTATGACTCCAGCTTTGTCGAGCGGAATAGCCGTATTTCTGGCTCCTTTCCGAGCAGAAGGATCAACTGAGTCAGGAGATATGGGATTCTTGAAAGCTCGGCTGTCCAGCTGGGAATTCCGAACGTCTCAGTCTGTTTTGGGGTGCCTGACCTAGGAACTGAGTAAGTCACCCTTTGTGTCACACAGCCATGAGACCTGCTACCAAAACGAGTTCCTGTTCGGCGGAAAACTGCTCCCCTTCTGTTCCAGTTGGATTGGATTCTCGACGGGGGAGGACGAAGTTCTTTTCGGTTTTTTTAGTTTTACTCCCTTGAAGTACTCAAGTATCAGAAAGGACTCGCCAACAAAGAAAATAACAGCTTTATTTCGAACAAGCGAGTTCAAAAGTTACTATGGGGTCTCGTGGTATTTAAATCACACCTTCAATCTTAATTCAGGCTATCCGATCGCCGTTGGGTGAACACCCATCATCGTCGGCCGAGCTTCTGTGACATGCCTGAGCACCCATCATCTTTGACCGTCGTTGAATTGATTGATTTCCTGAGAGTCCAATCGGAAGCTGGCTTTTCTGGCCTGGGTGCTTGACGGTTTCTTATCGCGATTTTGATGGAGTTTTGAGGGTCTCACCAGGTTTCAGGCATTCTGGAATTGTTTTCAGGATTCTGACCTTCCTGACAGTGAAGCATCGTTCTGTTGTGTGAGTCCTTGAGACACTCGTTTTTCAACTCGTTTTCCTGTCACTTTCTCACAGTCGTTCCTATTGGATGTATTCGTCAATTCTAATCCTTCTCCTAGAGTTTCCTATTCGCCTGAGCGTTTTGTTAATCTTTCGCGAATTTCACCTGACTATGGTGAGTAGTCACGGATCAGTCTCGGGGAGGATTGGGGCTCGTATATCTGAGCTTTTCGTGATTCGATCACATTTTTGTCAGAATGGCAAGTCAAATCCAAGCCCACCGCCTGGAAATGATCAGGTTCTTCATGGAGATCGATGAGCAATCGGATAATTAATTCCGGCTACTACCAATGGTTCAATTGGGTGCTTGTTTAAACTAAGTTCCAGGCTTTAATCAGATTCCCCAGCTGCACAAACTGGCCGACAGACGTGAGCTCAGAGCCCTTAGCTAAATCGTCCCTGTCTGAATACTCCCAAACTGAATGAAGGCGCTACAGTAGCGAACTCTTCGGGATCTGATTGTATCTTTACCAGGACAAGTTGACAATTCCTTACTTGGTGCGTGTATGGAGTCCAGATGGTTGTGCGAAGTTCATGTGTGGACGAAACGTCAGGGGATTCCCCAACGGATCGTTACTGACTGGTGCTTCTCTATCGGATTTTAATAGTTGTCTCCCAGTCCAAGCTTTGCTTTGTCAGGACAGGGAAACTTGTCACTCCGTCTTTGTTGAACTGTAATACAGACTCTTTCGGACAGTTGTGGTGCCTTTGGAAACCACGGGAAGTGGGCTAGCCACTTGTCAAGGCTTTAAACTCCCTAGTGACGATGTGCACGTCACTGTGGGGTGGCATTCTCGTATCTGACATATCAAGAAAGGTAAGGTTTTCCGAACACTGGTGAAGCCCAAATTTAGGTGACTCGGTTTGCTGGCTTCAAGGCACATGGTTTCATGCAAACAGAATAACTGTCCATTTCACATTGTGTGCGTATTTTCACTCCACAACGTTCCTATGTGTTTTGCTTTAGCGTGCAGGCTACACCATCGGTGAGCTGTTTCATCTTAGCCGCTCAAGTGTGCCTGCTCAACGCCGCCTGGCTCTGGCAACGCTGGCAACGGCTCTGGGTCAGACACGCCGTGGACGACATGTTCACAACCTCGCACCTGTATCTTCCCCCAGTCTAATCTGGGGCCTACTTTCTTCATCGAGTGATTCAGTTGAAGGAGATGGACCTGGTAGCGGTGGGGGGAAGGGTGGAGTAGCTTTTCTGCTACGGTGGTGTTTAGACGAATCGGTGAGTTCGCTCACCAGTGTTGGGGCAGTTTCAGCCGGCACCGATATCTCGATTAGTGGGCATTCGGGTGGTGCATCACTTGGTCTGACGGTGGAATGCATCCGTGGTCTGGCGAACTTGTTGTGTGATGCCGATGGAGAGGTACGTTTGTTGGTCTTTGTAATGCGAGCTTCCTTTCCAGAGCTATTTGAACAGTACCCATGAGTGGCCCTTGCAAATGGCCACCAAACAGCATCTATTTTTGGCACCACCAACGCTTCAGCGAAAAGTTCCGTCAAGAATTCCCGGTGTTCTCCAGTTGACTAAAGCACCGGCGGAAGAGGAACCCGACCACAGTGAGGCTATGTCTCTGGACCCGGTGTTTTTTCTCTTCACTCAAGGTCAGTTGGGTCAGCGTTTGGCCTGGCTCTTGGCTGACGAAAAGGGAAATTTGAGGACAAAGCTGCCACCGGACGCTGTCGGTCTGTGGCTTCCAGCTTTGTTAGTTCGCGCAGTTCGACACTCACCCGCTCTGGCCTACCGAGTGAGTCTGAGACCGTATTTCCTTTTCGCCTCTGGGGTTTTTCTCTCATCCTAATGCTGAGAATCTTCTCTCTCTCTGTCCCACAGGTTTTTTCCATACCCAATCTGTTTCGGACACTTTTGGACCACTACTTGCCCGTGTGTTATGGCAATGACTCAACTTCTGCATCAGCTGTTCGACCGACACGTCTGTCTCAGGCTACCGGTATTCCTTTTGCAGCTGTGATGCTGTTGTGTCGCTTGACAATGCTTACAAGTACAAGTATTCGATTGGCGATGGTGAGTACTGGTCGACCTCAATGTTAAGTGACCGACCATAAAATCACCCAACTCATGTCCAGATCTTCGCTTCAGTGCGTGCTAGCCCCATGGGGAGACGATCTGGTTTGCGGCGAAATCAGTTCGTCCAAGCTCACCGTTGACGATTTTTGCTCCAATTGCTCGGGCTCCTTGAAATGCTTAAAAGCTATTCCCGTGGGAATTATTGCTCTTCTACCTGCCCAACATACGCCGACGACTAAACCTGACATGACTCGAGTCCAGCAGTGCTCTTATGAATTTCACTGTCTCACTAGGGGGGATAGTGTTCAACTTAAAGTTCTGTCTTGTAGTCACTATCGTCATCATCAAAGACAGCAACATCAATGTTGACACTGATGCTTCACTGGCGTAAGACCATAAAGTTCCTCTAATTATATTTATAGCCCTAGAGTGAAAAAAGCGAAAAAGAGTCGGCGAGGGATGGGACCTATTGCTGGCCTGTGTCAAGCAGTCTGAGGTGCCTACACATCCAAGCGCTCAGTCAGACAATCTGGAAAGAAAATGACAACACGAACGCCACTGTCATCGATTAGCCGCCATTTCTTTCAATGTCTGCAGCCAAGCACGGGGAACCCATCCTGAAAGGGGTACAACACCCAAACTCTTCGTGATCTCTTTCACGCCCTTCTGCCAAGTCGTATGTTGTCCACCTCGCGGTTTGCGCCATTCTGAAAGAGGCACAGAGAACAACACTCATCTTAGTAGACGGTGTTTCGCAACGCGTAGCACATGACTGAGGCATCGTTTCTGTTAGTGCCGGATTATTCCCCAATTGAAGTACCTGCCACACAACCAAATACCCGTTTTCTAAGCACCCCGCTGTGAACACGCTGACGCCATCCAAAACTAGCAACGCTTCTGAGGCATCGATGGTAAAAAAAAACCTGATGACCGCCATCTAGATTTCGTACAGCTATTCTGCTCATACCTTTGGGTTCGTTTGCCAATCTTTCTGGGTTTTATTAGTTTCTTTTTGACTGTGGTTGTCTCAGTTTGAATCAATTGAATTTACCATGGTCCTGGCTGCTACAGTTCAGATCACCAGAAAGTGGGAGAGTGTGGGAGATGCAGTCAAGCACTGGAGGCGGGAACTGGGTAGCTACACACTGATGGTAATAGTTTTGATGAACGAGCTCCACTGACTGCATGATTGGGCCATTTCTGCCAGTGGCATTAACCATTGGTTAGTTGGGTCTCCATCCAGTGGGGCAGCAGTAGTCAACCCGACTGAGTTTGTCGGTTAGTGCCTTCATACTTGCTCTCATTCAGCACGGGGCTGGGCGAAAAGAGCTCCGTGAGTCAGACAGTCCTCTGACACCCGAAGTACATATCCTAACCAGCGTAACCTACGAAGCGTGGGTAATTCATCTGTCGTGGGATGTAGTGGCTGTCGTATAAAACCAACCGTAGATGACGTGCTTCAGAGAAGCGGTTCTCCTGGAACAGCTTTACAATGAAAAAGAAGCGTCAACAACCCAAACAAACGTTTTGAGGCCTAGTGTTTCTAGTAGGGAATGGACAATGTAGTAGACAAAGTGCACTTTTCCATTCCATCGTGATAGCGGCAGTGCCCGTTAATCATCCCGTCATCATCGACAGCATGCATGAGTGTTCAGTGCCGATTGATGAATGTGCTTGAGTAATCTTAATTGGTATTGGGTAATTCTCTTCCAAGCAGGATCCCTTCTGTTTGTAAGTTCGTCGTCCGCCCAGGTGGTTTTTCCCAGGTTTCTGTTTTGTATCTTCCATTGGAAAGGCATTTCTAAAACGGTCTCTCTTGCACGAACTTCCTCACGCCGCTATTCCTCGTTTCCGTTACTACGTGGGTTTTGCTCTCCATTCCTTGGTAACCCGAAGCAACACAGCTCTCGTCTTTGTGGGAAATCGTCTGGTGGCTTACAGAGATCCAGCAAGTGACCCCACGGCTGACAGTTTCACTAAGTCCCACACCTGGTGAATGCTTCTCAGTTTTAAAATGTTATTCTTTTTTCCAGGTAAACGACCTCCGCCTGATCGAACGATGCTGTTCTTATCTCATCCCCTCTGAAGCCGAGGACTGCAACCATCTCTCGGAGCAATGGTCCCCGCTCTCCCGGTTGCCACCCGCCCTTCCGCTCAAACTGGCCGTGCAGGTGCACATTGAAGCTCTTCGATGTCTCTCCGCCTGTCTAGTTCCCCTGTCTGATGCAGAGTCTATTCCGCTTCATGCTTTGAATTGCATTTGGTAGGTGTCGGACATATCTTGCGATTCTCTGTTCAATGAACAGTCTGATGTGTTCAAATGCGACTGGCCTTAACGTCTCACCTTAATCCTTTCGTCATATTTCGTCAAATTGACAGTGAATCATAATCAGGCAGTCTGCTAAGTGTCTGTGACTTCTTCGTAATACGTTTTTGCTTCTCTTACCTCTGATATTCATTACCCTTCTTCGGGTTAAAAAAATCTATGCGACACGTTAGTTTGTGAAAAGGAAACGCAGATTGGCCCACCACTTACAGGGTCTAGACTAGATGCTACGCGAGAACCATACATAACTGAGCATCTGTCCCACATCAGATAGACCAATACCATGAATAACGCAATAAAAAATGATGTCGGTCAAATTTGGATGCTCGAGTGATACACCCATCGAACATGAAGATCCGTCGGTGTTGACGCTCAGCAAAAATGCTGTATGCAGGTCTCAGGTTTCAAAGTATTTTCCTTCATGGTTCATTGCCCACAAAGTTGGTGTAACCTCTGGTCAGCATGATTCTGGCGCCATGTTATCTTAGTGCTTGGAACCAGCCTCTGGTGGGCTTGGGCGTGAGCCACCAACTTTTCAAACACATTGCCAGTTCTCTTTGTTTCGTATGACCTTCATGCGTTAGACTTACAGCCTTTCAGTGGTGTCCGCTCGGTGCCTTCCACATACGTTCATCTTTCACATTTGACCTTACCAGGCTGTTCGTTATTTATTCCCCCAGGAACACACTCCCCATTCTCTGTGCGACCTTGAACCGGATGGCCGATAATTACTTCGAGCACTTTGGAGCACCTACGCAGCCCCACACCGAGGATGTGTTGATACTACCGCAGTTGTTGGTCTCCTGGATTTCATTCCTCACACAAGCTTTTGAATCATTTGTCTTGGGATCGAGGTGAGTTCGTGGAATCACTCTCATATCAATGCCACTACCTCACCTCCGGATGAAGACCACAAAACTGTGTTTCACGTGCTTGTTCGGTAAAATGAAACAAAAATCCATCACTGACATATATCCATAATTTCAATTCCTTCGTTTTTGCGCCGTTTCCCCCGATTTCGAGAGCGTCTATTACGTTTTTATTCTTTAGAATTTGTTTTCCAAGGTCGGAAATTCAATCACATTTTTTCCTTTGCCCAATATCTTGTAGCCACCTGTGACGTCATCGCCCAGGAATGAGATGACCAATCCTAGCGTTCTATCTTTGAATCTCTGTAACGAATGAGGTAATCCACAGTGGTCAGTCTTCAGGCTTTGGGAGATACATCTGACAACAGTCACCTAACGTAGTTGGTTTGAATGGATGTTAGCGGGGGCGAGATTGGCCAAGTGCTTAGAGCACGAATTTACTGACCGGAAGATCCCCGGTTCGAACCCGACCTCTGCCTCTCGACTTCCCCTGTCTAGGCTTGGGCAACCTAGCAGTATCCCAGTCCTCGTGTCTCCCTCGTGTGGCATGGCAGCTTGGCACCGAAATGTTGCTACAGCTGAATGATTTACTTTTTATTTTCGCGGGAGATTTAAGACCTGAATAGCGGGGCTATCGGGTAGTTTGATTATGGGCACTTCAACTCGTGTGCTGACACAAGAAGGATTTCAGCGAAACGCAACTTAACTGCTTGGTGCACCCAATGTGTACGGCGTTTCGTTCACAAATCTAAGAGCACTCTGATGTCTTCACTCTTTCGACACACACCCCACCCCAAAAAACCTAAACTAGTTATCCCTCACTATCCGCGATGGTCGAGAACCTCCTGTTTTCATGTGCCAGGCTGGCATCCGGCTGGGAGTCACGGAGTTTTAGCGAAACCAAAAATGGTGCTGAGTGGAAGCCTTTGGTACCGACGGATATCGCTCTGGTGACCGGAAACAAGAAGAAAACAGCAGCACTCCGAAAGGTCTTGTCGGACCTCGATGAAATGACTGTATTGGCAAGTCCTTGGCCACGAAAACTGCTGTCTAGAGAAGGTCATCCCACTTCCACAGCTATTTTCCTGCAGTTATCAGTTAGCTCGGGCCTGGGCGACCTGACAGTAACTCTGCCCTCGTGCTTCCCTTCGGTGGCATGGCAGCTAGGCACTGAAAGGATACACAGCTGGGCGATTTTTTGGCCAATCACCTGGGTATATGATATTCTTTCTCTGTTGGCTCGGATATTGCTAATTGGTAGTTTTTGGTGCTATCGAAAACAAGCGCACTTCTTGAAGAATTTGAATTCATTACTTTATCCGCTCAAGGGGGGATCGATAAATTCAGACCATGGGAATGACGTTGTTTTTATTTGGTTATTCCAAACAGTGATCGAACCATCATTGAGACGAAAACCGGCGACGAGACCACGGCGAATGCATCGTTTTTGAAGAACTCTGCCCCCGTGTAGCGGCTTTCTTTTTCTAGAGTATGATATTTATCGGTCAGGACGAGTGGCATACTGCCATTGTGCACACTCTCTCCGCCAAGGAATGTGGCATGCCTTGGGAGGTAAACTCTCTTCCGAAGTCGTACGTGGCAGGGGGTAGTGTTATCAACCCTGTGGTAGTGGCCCCCTCTCAAGCAATTAACATATGCTATGCTCAGCCCGAAGGTATCTCAACAGAAGACCAAGTTCATTGGTCTCCGTTTGAGAAATGGCTCTCTTCGTGGAGGGCCCCAGTTTCCAGAAAATCCTTCCGAACAGAAGCCGGCCCCGCGAACACCATACAACAATCGTTTTCCGTCAGGTACGATTTTTATACTCAATCCCTTTGAATCAAACCCCGTCCATTTAGGTCTGAGCAAGTACTCGACCGCATCCAACTATACCTCATCTCTTCTGTTATGCAGGAAAATTACCAATTGGTCTGTGCAGTCCTTTCATGAATGCGTCGATGAACTGTTCAGGCACCTTCTTCAACTACTGAGCCACATTCTATCCAAGTTCACTTGCGGTTTTGCTGCCTTGGAAGAAATTCATGTGAGTTTACCGTCAAGGCGAACCAGATGAAATCTGGTGTCGTATTCGTTTTCTAACACCTCTCTGAAGTGGTCTCCCGAACCGTTCGCTAAGGATGCATGACGAATGATACGAGTCTCCAACTAGCTGCTGCTCTCAACTAAGACCACCGAGTGCTCATCAGGTGCTCGCATTTGCCCACTAGACTGTTACGGTGTATCTATACTGGGCATGCAAGAGAAATTGGCCAGCCTTACTGTGCATGAACTGACATATCCCATGTTTGTAAGTCGTTCTCCAGCTTCCGATCCAACACGAGTGTGTGGCGTCCTCGCTTGTGGCGATTAGGCTCGACAATGAAGGCTTTTGTACGAGAAAAAACAGGATTCTTATGCACCACAAGAAAGACATGACAATTCATCAGATCCTAGTTGATTCTGCACTGCTTCGTGTTTTTTTAGAGTTTTCGATCCTAGCTTTGTTTAACGACCACTCGGTCGCACACGCGACTGGTCAGTGTCTTTTATAGGAATGTCTTCGGTGGAGTGAAGAGGTCTCTGGGTTTTCAATCATGGCATCCGTGGCGCCAAACCTGATGCTTGATCGACAGCATCCATCTGGTGGAAGCTGTATGCTGATGCTTGATCGACAGCATCCATCTGGTTTTCGTGGAAACTGTATAGTGATCAACTTAGCTGGCTTTATTTTTGAACAGTTCCGCTTGTTAATTTTCCGGATAAATGGAATTCCTCGAATGTTTCTGCCTTCACAACTTAATTCTCATTGTCAAACATCGCACTTTCTGCCCTTGGAAATTTTGTTCTACCATCCCGTGTGATCACTTCAAGATTCAGTTTTAACCTGCTCTTTTTGTAGATGCATCTTTTAAACCATGGTATAACAGCCAATCTGGTCGCGGTTGTTGTCGACTGCTCCGTGCGTTTGTTGGATGCACAACAACAGGTAGATCGTCTTCCTCAAACTCCGGTAAGACATGTTCAATTGCTTGACGCAGTGTTGCTCACTACGAACTTCCACGTGTCCTTTGGTTTTGTACGGACAAGATTGCGTCAGTTTAGACCGAAAATTTGAGCCGACTCGAGACATTTGAGTGGTGAAGGCTTCAACTTACTGACTGGAAGATCCGTAGGCTCGACCCCCGGAATCTCCACTACACTTATCCAAGCTTGGCCAAGCTGAGGCTGCCTCGGTCCACATGCTTCCTTCAGCTGGCTCGGCAGCTAGGCACCCAAAGCGGATTACAGCTGAACGATTGTTTCACTACCGACTAGATAGCCATCCTCTGAGATGAACGTGTGATTTCTGCACATGTAGTGTCTTGTCCCAATTGCCCGCCTGATCGAGAAGTTGGTGATAGACCGCACACGCTCTCATCTGACCCCCGTACGCTACTATGTTCAGCACTACAGGCATTCTGATTATTGCTTGAATATTCCCATGGTTTGAAAAATAACACAGTGACGAACATTAATGTTTTCGGGATCTCGTCATCAGGTCAGTACATATCTAATGGTTAAAATAAGAGCGAAAAATGAAATACGCTGCGAAGACTGGTTACTGAAATGTGAAACGTGGAAACACGAACGATTGGTTGTCTGCGCCCCCCCCCATGTCGCATCTAGTTGGATGCTGTGAGACAGTGAAGAAGGGTGTTGAATGACTTGACCGGTTGATTCGTGTCACACCGGCCAAGTCATTCTCTGTACTGCGTTCCCCGAGACCCCGTGAATTCTACAAATAAGTGCACGTCGAACATTCTTCATGATACATTCTAATCTTTGTTTTCTTCACCCTATTTATCTCAACCCAGCCCTTTTTTCAGCGAATTGACACCCTGTGGACAACCTACCTCCTTCCACTGTTCTATCATGACGTATGGTCACGAACTGTGAGACGTTTCGTTCGGTAAGTGCTTTCTTTCTCATACGAAACTTTCTGGCCTTTAGTAGGCAGTAAATCAAGAAACTCTTACAACCTTGCTATCCTGTAGAATTGCTAGTAGATCAAACATGACAAAGATCTCGACTGATTTCTTTTGAAGTTCATCAACTTACGGTGTTTTTCGGCATGAGTTTTTCCCAAGTTGCTGCCAGGATACGTTTCTTCTGAACAAATTTCACAAGATCGATGAAAGCCCTGAACAGCTCACCACCGGCCTCGTTCTTTTTTGGACTCGCCAGATCCACGTAGTCCTCAAACTCCCATCATTATTATATCATACTAGATTGTACACGTGCGGCGACAACCACTCATTTGCAAAATAAATTAATTTTGACGGGAGATTCTGTTGAATTTCACTCCCTCGTTTGTAATGCTCCCCAAGTGGATCTGCCGCACAAACACTACCTGTTGTCTCAGTATGAACGATATTCAAGATATCCAAGTGTATGACACTGCTCATACTCTGGTATCTCGAACATTGTCCCAACTGAAACATGAGGCTACCCCCTGTGCTCGGTTTTGTAGAAGACCCGCTATTCCCAAATTGTGCCAACAGGTGAATGTTTGGTCGCGGAAGAAACCTATATTCTCGAAGGTAATTGGGGATGACCTTCCGCCGACACGACTGAAGTCGTTGGAGCTCCTGACAAATCGCCCGTTCATGCTCTGTTTTGCCTCCTTTCATTGTGCCCAAGCCAAGTCTAGTTATGTTCTCAGTAAAAACGCGTCTAACAATACCGACCTACTTGTATCACGTGAACATCAATGGTGTTAGTTCTCATTTTCCTATCTTCCTAGATCCAGAAGCGTTCTAACGGGTGTACCAGAAGTGATGGGTGATGTAGACGTTGTCACAGTCCCCAGATTACCGCCCGATGAAAACGACCCGAATCGGCCAGTAATTGATTGGACAAATCTATCATCCAGTACATCTATAGACGAGGGGCTTCTCGAACCTGTTGACTTGGTACCCCGGTGCCTGCCTGATCTGGGCACGAGAATTTCTTTCGCTATCGAGGGGCTTCTCGAACCTGTTGACTTGGTACCCCGGTGCCTGCCTGATCTGGGCACGAGAATTTGCTTTCGCTATCGAACAGCTGACCCCGGGCTGGCAGCCTTCGTTTGGCCTAAAAGTGGCATCCGTATGGAGGATGACTGCAATCCGCTGTCACCTGCTCCTGGAGATTTCTGTTCCCTAGCCCTCCTCACCTGCACTGTCTCTGTCCTCGAGCGTATTCTTCTGAATTGGCGTTTTCATCTCGCTTCTGACAGTGGCGTGTCACCACACGTGTTTGCTCCACTGATTGGATGGATTCGCCGACTAGTTAGGAAGCGCCCCCTTCCATGGCTGCCTGGCCACTCTGGCCGCACAATGACATCTTTACCCTACGCACTCATCGCCATGGAATCTTGTACACTTGGCAAAGCGGTACTTGTGCTCTCACAGGTAAATCTGACACCATGTTTAATGTGTCTTTGTTTTTTCCCTCTGTGACAGTGCAGTCATATTTCGCTTTTTTAAGTCACGAACGTTTCTGCCGTTTCTGCGATCTCCTTGTATAAATCTGGGTAACCAAGCGTGATTTTCAAACTTCTACGAAGGGAATAGAGGTACTCAACAGTTTGGTACTCCCATCGTGAAATGGAAAAAGCTAGAATGAAGACTTGCCGGGTTAGCGTGCAATTTCAATGAAAGGATTGCGTAGCCTTAGGCGAAGTGTACACCATTCGCCAGAAGAATACACAGGCTTGCACCACTTTCTAATCGTGTATTTCGTTCGAACTCCCCGTTAAAGACCGCGTAATCCCAACCAACGTGTACTTTCAAACTGTCAGCTTAGAACCTACCAATCCGCTTCTGTCATGCGTCTCAATGGTTCGTCTCGAGTGGTATGTGCTGGCGCCTCACAGTCGTGCTGGATTGGAGAGGGTTAGATTTCCAGGAAATCATCTTTCGCCGAGTCACAGATGTAGTGGTGTTATTGAGGAAACTACACCTACCAATTGTGAGGGGGCGAGATGGCCCAAGTGGTTAGAACGCGAATTTACTGACCTGAAGGTTCGTGGTTCGAATCTGACCTCCGCCATTCGACTTCCCCTCTCTAGGCTTGGGCAACCTGGCAGTATCCCAGCCCTCGTGCTTCCTTCGGGTGGCATGGCAGCTAGGCACCGGAAAGGTGCTACAGCTGAACGCTTATTGAGGTTCTTGTGGAAGTTACTAGACGGACCACTCAAAGGTGAACATCTGTTCGAGTAAGCAAGCTTCATGTCGGCAGCTGAGTGCTACGCCAACACTAGCGTAACCCGCCGTAGTGGTTTCACAACTACCCAAAGTTCAAAGCGGGTAGCGTTGAAATAACGAAGTTCGGATA